AGGTATGAATTTTTTTCTGTTGGACTGAGAAAAAAATAAAAAACCGCGATGAGGAGGATCTTCCTATTAAAATTAAGAGCCCATACTGGGTGAGTACTTTCTAAAGGTGCCTAGCAACAAGTTTTTGTGTGTCAGATCCAAAAAAAAAATAAAAGTTTTTTTTTGATTCACCCTAATATATATATAAGATTAGTTAATAATAAATATAAAATGAATAAAACTCTTTCGTATATATTATTGACAAAACATTTATAACAATATGAATGTACATTTTGCAAAGAATGCGTTTTAAAGTAAATGCTACATTAGTCTTAAATATTTGACAAAAGTAGATTTATTTTCAGTGATAGTATATGATATACTACAACTGGCTTTTGTAATACATATTTATAATATGAATAGTATAAATTATCTATAAATTCACTTTCTATTGCCTTTAATACATTTCGTCGAACTTGTTACATTTAACTATATTTTCATTATAGATAAATCTAGTTCACAAAAATACAGTTTCGATTATTTATTTTTTATGTATCAGCAGTAGTATGAATAATAAAAATATTTGTTGACAAATTCTCGATTTATTATACATTTTCGTTAACATGACTTCATTATTTCTTTTGTTAAATAATTTCGTATCATCACAGATTCTCTTTTTTTAATACAGAGTAAATTTCCAAAATAAAACATTTTATAAGAATAAGTATAGATAATTATTATAAGCATGTAATTGTTTAAAAAATACTGTTTATCTAAAAAAAAAAAAAAAATAATACATAAATATTCATCATGAAACGAAGTGAACGAGAGATAGGTGCATATAAAATCAGTTTTCAAGAGAGGAATAATTGAAAATTTACAAGATATTATAATCATTGTTTTATATAATAATATGTTTGTAATTATAGTATTTTATTAGTAATTTTAAAATAGTAATAAGTAATCAACACATTTTTAGCTTATGAAAGAATTTCATGTTTTTGTAACTTTTATAGTAAATGAAACGTATAAATAAGACTTTAAAATTGTAAAAAATAAGAAACAAATAGTCCTATAAATTCATTAATACAAGTAATATATATATCTGAACAAGTTCATTTCTATACTGTGTTTCAACTTGATTTTTCATATATATACTCTAGATATTTTCTGGCACAAAGTCATTATACATGATAAATCTGTACAAAAATAAATAGCTGTATTTTAAGCACGATTGATAAAGACTGAATTGCATTATATATTTCGATCCTTTCATGATTCAAGTATAATCTTCCATCAAGTTAACTGGTTTTTCTTCGAATCATCAACATCCACCACATTGTAGCTCCTAATTGCATATTAAATTTTATAAATTTTTTATATTTTAACATTTTAATATTTCTTTTAAAATTAGGAATAATAAAATACTCCATTATATTGCCTTATAAATTAAACAAAAAGTTATTATTAATTGAAAAATTATAATAAAGATCGTAAAGTCTTTATAAGATGAATATTTTGTTATATCTAATCTAAATGCATATACCCTTCTCTCAAAAATAGCCACGATATACAATTTAATGTATGCATTTAAGCGGTCGTCTTTATAACATAAATAATTCTATGCAGATTAGAAATTTGTTATTCTAAAAAATTAATTTTTCCTTTAATATTTTTTACTAAGTTTACTACTATCATGATTCACATTCGTTTTTTTTATCTTGTATTTTCTGTTAATACTATTAACTAGGTCAAAAAATGTTGCTTTCTGTTGCTTCACAATCCTGCTTCTTGAGAGAGGTATATTTGTTATCTAAAACAATATCGGCACGCAATAGTACCAGCAAACTGACACTTCTGTGCATTTAAAAGCTTAAAGAATCTAACGTATACATACATACACGCGTACACGCAACCCTGACGCATATATATATTATATGACTACATAAATAATTTTTTTTACAGAGTTTTGTACATTAGTATATTGAAATATTAATTATTTCTTTGGCTTAGAAGCGCTTACAGTTTTTACAAAAAAATTATTTATAAGCTGTATATAAATAAGTGAGCAATTGTACATACTCATCATACATATGTTTTTATATAGGATCTTTCAACATTATAATTGTCTCCACAAGTTTTTAAATGTAGCCCCGTTCGTAATAATTAATTTTTTACAGATTAAGCCTTTTCAATATCTATAAAGGTTTAATTTAAAACACAGTATCGTAATCGAATTCGTAACTTGAATATTTCCCACAATATTATTTAAATATCTTATTGAAAATGAAAAAAATTTTTAATTTTTATAATAGAAATCAATTTCACAAAAATATTAGCTTCAATTTAATTACGAATCATATAGTGAATATATTTTAATAAGGAGAATGTAAAGTCCAATCTACTTTTCGATTTTGTTTCAAAATGGAAATAGTTCAATACTACGATTACATTCAATATTAGAATAATGCATATTCTATTTAGCAGTATTATGTAATTCTGTAAATACGTTTCCTATAAGCGTATTATTACACAGGCCAGATCTTTTATGTTCTACATATAATCTTCTAAAATATTAGTATTGCATAAAATCTCTTTGCAAAATGAAATATTTTTGTCATATATACTACTACTATATCTTACTATATACATATACACACACACACACAGCGTGAGAAATAAACAGATAAGATCCTATTTGAAGAATATTTTATCAAAATTATATATTCTTCCTTTATATATATATGGACTAGATTAGTATTAACGTTTACAAAATACTGTAATTCTATTGACTATTATTTATCTTTTTTTTTTAATAAATTATTAGTTAATTGTTTTCCTAATATAAGATCTTTTTTTTATTAATAAATATGATTTATAATGTCTAAGAATTACAAGTTTGCTGCTATTACAACTTTGAAGCAATTGTCCTTCCATCCAATTTTTCAATCATTAAATTTAACATCATACAGTCTTACAACATAAGCAGGCACCCCAATTTCTATTTGTTGAATGTGATAGCATATCTTTAAAAGTACTATTTAAAAAGAATAATTTTATATGTTAGTTTTGTTAAAATTAACAAACAGTGTAATTATTAAATCTAAGTACTTTGAAAGATAAAAAATAAATTATACATTCATACGTTAAAATGCATAATGTTACTGAAAATTAAAATTAAAAAATTATGTCACTTTGTAAAAAAGATGCTGATAAAATGATAAGTAATTAATATGTATGAATATAAGACGTTTAAAAAGATATTTTCCTGCTTATGAAAGTATTATGCTACATTTTAAAAATATACTATTATTTGCAGAAATATTTTTTCCTTATATTTTTTACGTACAAATTTATGTTTACAGACGCAAGTACGCATGCTTGTCTTCTATAACTATCAGAAATAATAAAAAATAATACATATATTGGATATATACACGTTCGTTATTTTTTTTTATAATTCGTTATAAGAAATAAAAGCAAAAATAATGCATAGATTATTTTTTGACTGCATAAAAATACTACTATATATGTGTGGGGTTAGAGAATATTTTAGAAGTGTGCGTGCATAGTGTATAAGTATTCATAAAGAAATGTTATTCTCTAGCTGTTATGTGTACGATGGTATGAGTGTGTGAGAGAATGTTTCGTGGAACGAAGGAGAAAGAAACGGTTTCTCTAGATTAGGGTATTTGTTTAGATTGTAAGGTTACACCGTCTGGACTTGCCGCCTTTGTGCAGCTCTATCGAGATCTCTCGAACGTTTTCGATTCGGAAATGCAGAAAGAATCCCTTGTTCATGATTGGGAATTATCAAGAGGTTTCTGGAGGGAATTCCAGAAAATGGTGAGAGACGATGGAGGAGAGGTAAAACTTAAATAGCTGACGGAAGGGACCGGACAAGGCATTCCGTTATAGTTCTTTGATATATACGACGAGTGTTAGGTGTGAAAGGAAACGATAAGACAACGGGGGATGGTGAAGGGATACGAAAGACGAAGATAAGCGACGACGAGTCGAATACAGCGTGTCCTTCGCTAATTACGACGGTTGTTTTCGGGTTATGATAAAGAATAGCATCTGATATCTCGTAGCAAAAGATTGTAACTTTAGATTATAGATATTTACTATTCTATCTCATTTTAAACCTATTATACCTAAATCGGTTAACATTATTGTTAAGCGTTATTAAATAAATAAATTATATTACTTCTATATTTTTAAATAAAATAAAAAATAAATCTTACATATGTTATATCTATTGCAAGTGACATCTACGCATTCGCTATAAAATAAATATTTGTCTAGGGAATTTGCATAAAATTATAAAGCTAGAATAAACTGTTTTTTGAAATGAAATTTAGTATGAATGTATCTTATTCAAATAGTTATTTTGATTCAATATTTTGATGGTGAAACTAGGATTAGTACGTAGAAATTTGTATGCATTATATCAAATGCTTTTGAGGTCCCTAATTAACTATGCAATAGATTTCAAATTTTTTTCTTTACTAAACGTACTGGTAATTTACTATCTCTACTTCTTGGACTTCCAGCTGTATTACTTGGTGTATTGCGTGAAAGTACAAGTATACGACGTATTTTATTGAGCTGTTCATTACTCAAACTTCTTGTTAAATGTCTTTCGGTAGTAGAACTAGAGACATCTTCAATCTCTTCACTATTAAATCTGATTATAGATCCTAAACAAACGGGACTGGAAGCTCTAGTAGCCGGTGCTGTTCTACTACCTGATACTACAACATCTCTTAGGGGAATTTTACTAACTCCCTGATTATGATTTACATCCAAAGTAGAATATCGCCTTAAATTTCGACCAAAATAATCTGTCATATCTAGACTATGTCGTTTGAACTTTAGTTTAGAGTCCTTAGAATAATCTGGATGTTTCAAACCAGAATTCATAGAATGTCGTTTAAGACTTTCTATTCCATATTTAGGTTGGGTAATTTTTATTTTATCTTTGTCTAATATTAATGAATTTCTCTTCACTTTGTCGTCTACAGATCTTCCTTGATTCACGTCAAATCCAAATCTTTGTTTATTACGACGGAATACTGAATATCTGTCAGTTCTTGATTCCGAATTAACGATTAATTGATCATTTGAATTTTCCTTTAACATATTTCGGTGTCTTAAACCTTCTTCATAATCCATAGAACGTATAGTTTTCAAATGATCAGCTGTATTTGCGATGTGTTTGGTATGGTCCTCATATTCAATGGAAGAATGTCTTTTAGATTCTATTCCTTTATAACTTGCACTACTGCTTCTCCAAGATTGTTCCCCATCACAGTCTCTTCTAATTCTGGTAATGGCTACTTTTAAGTTTTCCATTGAACACTTTGGTGTATTTTTGGGCGAAGAAAGTTTTGGTATTTTAATACCTGCATCCACTAGGAACTCGTTGTCTGACAGCGTTACAGGTATCTCATGCACAGAACTAGAAGCCCAACAAGAGTTATTATAATTCATGGGAAAGTTTGCAATGACTGGGGTTTTATCACCGACAACAATGTTAGTAGAAGCTTTTTGCGAGTAAGGATCTGCAGATAGGATATTTTTTAGAATATCTTGCTTTAGTTCACTTCTAGGATACGCGCGAGTGTGTTGTGGACTTATATTGTAACATGTACAATAGTGAGATATAAATTCCTTATGTTGAAGATCACACATATGTGGCTATCTAAATAAAGAGGATACATTAATGGTTGAAGAGGATTGACCCATTCTTTCCAGATATTGTATCAGATGCATTTTGTTAGACCAATCTCTTGTTAAGTTGTTGCTAGAAATACTAGAAGCACACGAATGCTAGCATCTAGATCTTGTTTTTACTTAATTAACTAACTAATTTTGGATAATACGCGGCTCAATATAAAAAATATATCAGATATATCATATATACCAATGACAGATAGATAAAAGAATGTAGCTTGAGAAAGAATATAAATTCGGTAGTTTATTCAGCATGCGAAAAGCTTGTTATTTAAGAAGTACGTATATGTCTAAATTTCATTTGTAAGATATCTATCTTAATTATTTTTATAAGATTATTAATTGGAAAAAATATATTACTATAAAATAAAAGTGTTTTATATTTGTTTGAAGTAAGATAGTTGTTTCATCAATAATGTACATATCAATCTTATAAAAACAAAGTATTAAATATTAGAAAATAAAAATAAAGAATTAAATATAGAAATGTATTTACCTGCTTTTTAAAGCTTCCGTTGTATGTCGAGGAGTTGTAATATCTATAAGTAAGAAAATAAAAAAAAACATTTTTATATATATATATAATTTATTCAAGTAATAACAAGAATAATAAATAATTAACTTACGTTTTACTGGAGGTGACTTAGTTACATTGTGTATTTTAATTTGCGGAGACTGTTCTATTTTCATTCGAGGCTGTGGTCTGAAATATTACGTTTAAGATATGAAATGTTTAATAAAATAAATGCATTTTTGTTTATTATATAGAAGATTTAACTTACAATGTTTTTGTTGTTCCTTCTATATTTAATCGTCCTCGCGCAGCTAAAATTAATATACATAAAAAATAATTTAATTCTTAAAATAATTGTATATTTTACTTTATCAGAATGAACTTACGAGCACTGATAGTTTTCTTTGAAGTTGTTCCAACAGAAACAGAAGACTTTCCGGTGCCCGCATGCAATAATCTTTTTTCTTCGTCAAATTTTCTAGCATCTTCTAAATCTTGCTTAGTCATTTTACCAGTACCCTAAAATCAAACGTCCATTATATTAAAATATCAATTTCTATTTTCATCTCAACTCAATTCATTTGTACAAATGACTTACACTCTGCCTCTCATATCTGACCTCCGTTTGTTCTAACTTCTGAACAGTATTCGTTAACATATCTACTACATCTCTATCTTTTTCACTGTTCAGTAAATGTCTGACTGTTGCTTCTAATGTTGTCAATAATTTTTTATCCGTAGGTAACCAAAGTTGACTCTTTAAAATGGGTAATAAAGATACTACTTTTAATCTGATGTTAGCCACAGGATCCTCGGCAAGATTTAATAAAACAGTAAAAAAATTCTCTTTAAAATAAGCAGAAGAAAATATATTTAATGCTTCGACCATCATACGGACGAATATCATTCTCACATAACAATCGGGATTATTAGCTAGTTCGACATAGATTTTGTTTCTAAATTCTGCTTTTTGCATAAATTTAGTATTATACCGTAGAAGGACAAGAAACAATCTTCCAGCAGCAAGACGTACTGGTAATGGCCTCTGAAATTTAAAGAAAATTGAAACTACTTTAATATTTCAATATTAATATAATAATATATGTTTTTAAAAGAAATCTTTTTAACATATCGTTTTAAAAAAGAATTCCACTAATTATTTTCTACTTACTGCATTTAAGATTCTAAATGAAACCAATGGTACAAAATAAGAATATATAATGTCACTGGGAAAACATTTAGGTAATATTTCAAGTTGTGCATGCATAGTAGAAGCCAGTCTCCAATTATGTGTAGATGCAATTTTTGCTTCACATATTAACAAAGCTTTGAGTATTTCCATCAAAGTAGAATCCTATATATCAAGTAATAATTTATAAATTTGATTGAACACTAATATATTTTCAAATTTATTATATTTAATGATCAATTTATTTTTACCACTCTATCTGGTCCAATAGTTTGACTTTGAATTAAACATTCAAGCGTTGATGATATGTTTGGAACTAATTTCTGTAATACTTCCTCTGGATCGTTTTTTAATAATTTAATGAAATCCGCTTTGATCCTGCCACTTTTCATTCCTAATATTTTGGCAACCTAATTGTTAAATTATATAGAAAATTACCTATTATAATATATTAATTTTTATTTTGAAAATTAATTTTGTATTACTTACTTCATGAATTCCACTCGCGACTGTTCCTCTAATTATATAATAAGAATCATTGGTTAAAGCACTAAAAGTGGAAAGTAAGGAATCTACGTCTTCGACAGAGGGTGATATAAAGATGAACATAGCAGGAAGATTAAACGCAGAATATCGTCGGCATTCCAAGTGTTTTTCATAATCGATAGAACTACTCTCGAGCTAAAAATTATATTTTAGTTACATAATTTATTTGAAATATTAATTATTGATAAGTTTGAATATTATAATGCTTACTAAAGGAAGATCTGGCTTAGCTTGTTTCTTCACGGATGGTATACCCATTTGTGCGAGTTGTTGAAAATACTTCAAGAACCATAACTTTTCTGTAGGTGATAGGTACTCTGAAATTATAACGTTTTATAAAATATACATCTTGTTTAAAGGATGTTTCAAACCAAAACAAATTTCGACTTTAAAAGTATATCTTGTAGTTTTTAAATTCTTACTTTCTAAGCCAAGAACAAGTTTCCCAAATTCTTGAGCAATCATACAAATCACATAATCTTCCGATTTAGCAGTATTTTCACACAACTTTTTGATAAGTGGACCTATGATGGTTTTTATTGTATCTGTAAACGACGAATTCCTATATAATCATAGTTGAAATTTAAAGAAATTGTATAAGGCGAATCATTCAAATATTAAGTCGTGTTATGTAATATTACATATCCTACCTTCCTGAAAATGAGGTAACAGGTATACTATTGCCTGCACAAATGCGTACCGTACATTGCTTTCCTCATCCCTTGCTAATTCTACAAGAGATGGTAGCAGAGCAGATTTTAAAGACTCAGGACCAAGACCCTCTGCAACAAAACGTAGCTGCAAGCAAATACTAGCTCGTACCGCACTATTCACATCTTGACAAAGGGACTGTACTGTTGGTAGAACTTCTTTTTGTACCCTAACAATAATTTTTTGGTAAGAGTAAAGCAACATTTTTACAAATCTAATTAACAATTCTTTTTTCTTTTCTATGTGTAGCAGAGTAAAATTTAAAAAAAAAATTACTTTGTTATAGATCAAAATCGTACACGCAAGACAAAATGCTGATTAATTCAAACTAAAATGTATACTTACAAATCGGCATTAAATCGTGTACAAATTTTTCCTAATAGCCTGCTGCACATCATTCTAGAATAAATTGATTGTGATAATTGCCCTTTACTTACAGCCATTGGAAGAATCTGTATATATGGACATGGACATAAGTTTATATTATTTTCTATGTGTATTTTCTATAATGTATAATAATATAAGAATGAGAGACATGTGTTCTTATAAAATATATGTAAACCTGTATTCTTATGACTTCTATTGGCAGTAATTCTATCACATCCAGTAAGGTCTCCAGCCATGCATAACCGATTACTTTGAACAAACATATAAGTTTCATATTAATTGAGTCCTAATACAAATCTTTGTTTGATATAGGCAATCATTATACCTGGATCGCGACTTTCAAGCGAATTTATTATAGTTTGTAGGAATGTCTGACTAAAGATACTGTGGCTGACAAGCTTCTGTTCTAATATAGTTTTAAATGTTGATGCAGCAGCAATATGAAATTCTGTACAAGCAGTGGCAAGAGCCTGCTGCATTTTGGGAACTACTCGTGACATACATGACTGTGCGTCTGTAGCTAAAAGATTTGGTAAACTTTGTATAACGCTAAGCTTTTGGATTTCCTCTCCTACCCTGTAAAATAGAACAAAACAATATATAAATTTTTTCAAAGTATAAGAAATATTATTTGAAAATACATTGGATGCATAAATAAAAACAACAATATTTTATAAGTATTTTCCACTATTATACTACATATTACGACCCAATTAGAATTTGCCTACTTGAATATTTCATCATTATGATCATTGTCAAGGTTTTTAATCAACGAGAAAAGGAATTTTCAATTACATTTGAACTGTTTATGTACATAAGGTAATAATTTTACAATGTACATTTCCTTAAAGGAATATAATTGGAGACATTAATACGACAGGACTGCGCGCTCCTTGAGCGATGATGTATATATTTATAGAATCGTGTAGCGGGAAAAAATAGTAAAAAGGAAATGGACGAAGATACAAACACACCACACAGCTATCATCGATCAACGGAAGAGACAAGTTTGGAGAATGAAAAGTGTGTCGGTGCAGGTAAGCGAGTACTTACGGATCGAACGTGCTCTCGCTCGGAGCTTCATCTTTTTCTTGCCACATTTTTAAAAGTTAACTTTATTATTCATCGATGCCACAAGATACGTAAAAGCATTGTTCGTTGTTGCTGATATGTGACCATGAGATTTTGATACATACGTCTTTCATGACGGTACGCGTTTTCCGTAAATCAAAGTAGAAAAGAATGGATACAAATCGATCAAGCAAACGAACGAATTAACGTGAATTAACGAACGAAAATAAAAACAACTAATAATTTGAACCTTCGTAATAATATAAACAGCACTGTTCAGTATTCGGCCGTGATGAGCCGCACTACCTCCACTTTCGTCGCATCGGACACTTCTGTCGCGCCGACTCGCGAGATTAGTCGAATGTAACCGAACGTAAACGAATCTAACCGAATGTAACCGAATCTTATCGAATCGCCGCGTAAATAATTATCTGTAGAGAGAATGGTGTGACAGATTCTTCCTCCTCTTTCTCCTCCTCCTCATTCACCTCCTTTTTCTTCTAACAATAAGTGAGAGAGGAACTTACGTAATAAGAGATAATGACTACTACCAATTAAACTTTTCCTTGTAATTTTATCGATTACTTTTTCTTTTCCACCAGATAATTTGACTAATTTACATTTCGAATATTTATTGATTAATTATTTTATATTTCAAAACTCTTGTGTTATATATCGATTAACGTCAAGATATATATGTATATGATGATTGCATATGACTAGTCGTATGACTCATTTAAATTTCTTTTTGTATTTTAAATGCGTAGAATTGAATATCTGCACATTAATATTATTCAACTTGTGTAATCCTCCGAGGAAGTGCGATTTAATTATCTTAAACGAAGATTTGTCGTTTTTACATCTGGTTTATCTTAACGAGATAAATACATATCTTTTACGAATTAGATCCTTCTTATTGCTCTTTAGTTCGCATTATACAATCTCATTTGAAAGTCGTGATTCGATGTACCAAATATTATTTTTCATTAACTGCATTATAATATTATATTCCTTTTGATAGATATCAATCGTAATATTCTTAATAACGGAAATGAATTAATATGAATTCCTTTGTGTTAAAATTACATTATTACGTATGTACATACTACATGTATACTTACGTCAGAATATGTAGTGCTCTTTCTATAGGTTTCTTTTCTAAATTAATATCTAGAGAATGTTTTTTCAATTGTTCTTCATCCTAATGAAAAAGAAAAGGAAAATTCTTGTAAAAATATTTAATAATTTTTACGGATTAATGTATATAGAAAAAAAAAAATTAACACATACACGTGTATCAGCAATAGGTTTATCCAGTTGAAGGCTCGCGAATTCTTCTAGATCCATGTTCATTGATATTCACATACTACGTACGAGATTAACATTCTATTTACTTAATTTACTTATCCAAATAACCAACCATTTTCACATAAGTACATACATATAAGACGGAATAATATGTGACATGTAAAACAATGTCAATTTAAGCTATATTCAGAGATACTCAAAGTAACAAAATTGTATCTAAATAAATATATATTATATGTAGGACGGTTATCGTCTACCTCTGTTTAATATATTTTTTGTTAATGGATTATTTCAAGGATATCGTCGATCAAGCGGGACATAATTAATTTTTAACGATAAATTTATAAAATACGAAATATATTTTTTACTCTTTTCGTTGAATGTATGTATATAATTTAGATAATTATACATATATCTTACGAGCATCAGACGTAATAAAAATGTAGTTATTATAAAAGTTCTACTGTTTACATGAATATATACACGGAGTAAGGATTTAGATGAACCTAATATTCTGATGAGATTTGATACTTTATATCACTAAAATTATCGCACACTTTTATCCAAAAATAAAGCATTTTACTTCTCTACATAATCTACACTTTATAAAATAATTACAATTAATGAAACATATCAATGTTATGACTATTATACAAAAAGTATGATTTGTCACAGTTTCCATTTATGAATCATAATATGTATAAAATTAAAATTGAAATAATATTCAACGAAAGATAGAAATAAAGAGAGAGAGAAAGACAAGGAATAAAAAAAAAAAAAAAAAGAAAGATACCGTTACACCTGAGTCGAGATAATAGGTATCATTTAATACGAATGATATATGTATTGCATTTTCGATATGAATTTCATATATATATTATGTGCGTTTGGTCATGATAATGTTCACAAAAGAATTGTATATTAGGAAGAAAAGTAAGAAGCTTCGCGATACGGTTATGCGATAAAATAATAATTACAGACTTACAATCCGTCTAACGTGTCATAAAATTTCTTATAGACTGACGATCTGTACATGGGAAGACATCGTTTTATTCTTGTCAATGACATACTTACAAAATATATTTTTCGTTAGAAAATATAAAAAAAAAAAAAAACAATATTACAAACATTATATCTCGCGAGCTTTGTCTGCATTGTATCTGCGTATTTTTATATATGTAGTTACGCTTATATATATATGTGTCCAATAAGTCCAATTAATTTACGGCTGTGAAAGCACCTTGAATCCTTAATAATAATAAAAAGGAAAAAAAAGCAAGAAATTAAAATTTTTCTTTAAGGAATATCAACGTTTTTGATTGCTTTATCATTAATATGAAATTTGGATATAATGATATTCCTTTTATAAGAAGAAAAGAGAGCGTAACCTATTTTATCCAATATAACGCAATTGGATAATTTACATCTAGCATATTCTCTTTTACCGCGTGTTTCCCGATTTGGACTAGCTTCAGTCACGGTAAAGAGTAAGACATATAAGATACATGTAAAATTATAAGTATCAATTTTACAGTTTGATAAAATTAATAGGAAAGAAAAAAAAATCGAATGTAATACATGTACGATTAGAAATAAACTATAAACATAAGGATATACAGTTTTAATCTTTCATTGTTTTCCCTTTGAAGGAAATCGATTTTATGTGGCTGTAAAATTTTTTACTTATAATTTCAATAGACGTTATTAAAAACGTAATTTGAATCTTAAAATTATTCATGAAGAGAGCAATTCCTGAATAATTTTTCTTTTCAAACGTAACTTTCATCATCAACAACGGATCTTCCATATCCTATATGCCTGGTGGTGATAGGTGCACGTGGCTGCGGTGGTGGTCGATAAGGCGGAGGTGGTGGAAGAGACCTTGATCTACCGGCAACTTTGTGTCTATCCTCAAGATTCATGTGAACCGGTGGCAAATGCCTGAGTCTTGGTGGCAAAGGTGGCGGTGTATCTGGCCAAATTCTTTCCTCATCTTCGTCTTCATCGCCGTACAAATCGATAGCCTCGGCTTGTTTAAACGAGTAAAGATCGTTTCTTTCTCGGGATGGTCCGTAAAGTTCGTTCACTCTCTCCCTATTACCATAAATACTACTGTCCGACTCGTATCTTTCGGTACGAGTACTCTCCTTATTTACGTAAATTTCGCTCTTAACTTTTTTGAACTCGTAGAGATCGCCGTTTGAATGATAGCTGCCGTTATGCGAAACTGGCGAATCACGATTTCCGTAAATTTCTGTGTTGACTTTTTTAAATTCGCTAAAATGTTCTTTCTTGAATTCATAGCGTTCGTTCGATAAGGACGTGTCGCTTGACAGATCTTGGTCGGAAACTCTCTCTTTACAGATCTCCTGTTTCGACGTTCTTTCGTATTCGGTTCTAAGTTCACGCGACATTTCCAATTGAGAAGTCCTATAAATATCCTTACAATTTTCTACATTCTCTTTCATGGAATCTTGTCTGAGGTATTCCCTACCGTATATGTCTTTTTCATCGTATCTCTCTTTGCGGTGTTCGTGCTCATCTAACTTCGACCTCGGTGTTCTCTTCAACTGAGCTCTTAACCAATCCTGTCGTTGAAAGTTTGGATTTGGATAACCCACGTTATTCTTTTCTTCTCTGAAAACATGTTCCACGTTATTCGAATGATTATGACCGCTATTTACCGCATAGTTCATTCTTTCTTCCCAGCCACTATAAACACGGATATAAGTTTTCCCGTAAGACTTGTTATCTTCTTTCAATAAAGGCTTGTCGTAGCTCGATGATGTTGCATTTACAGCAGAATCTTCCGAACCGACTGGTGATTCCGGAATAAACAGCTGGCAATCCGATAATGTCAAGCCCGAATCACGAGAAAGGGACATATGATCCTTGCGTGGAGGTTCCGTTAAATCCAAACTGTCCAAAGAAAGCCCACCTGCTACAACAAAACACATTTTAATATTGTAAATTGAATTTCGATTACAAAGTACAGATTAACGACGTTAATATAATAAATATTCGTAATGAGATGAGAATTGAAATTAAGTACACTCCAAATTTTTGGTAGTATTAAATATTTAAATAAGAATGCGCGATAGCCAAATATTCTTTCTTTTAAGATTGAAAATAATAAAGTAAGTGAACTCACAGTGAAGGCTGTCGGTGCTTTCTTCAGCCCCGCTATCGCTACGTTCTTCACCAAGAAGTTGCGTGACACCTTCACCGAACAAAACCTCGCAATGACGAATTAGCATCTCCGTTAGCGTAGGAATCGCTCTACCTTGATTTACGGAGGGGTTTGGCGACCAGAGGAGACTCGGACCACAGCAAACGCCGAGATTACTAGCGCACATTAAATTGTGTTTCGATCTCCTCGCTATGTGATGCAAGACGCATATCAAATGCGAGAGCAATGTATAATTTGCTTTGGGCAACCTATCGAGAGTACTATAAAAGAAAAAAAGATATATTTTCTATTCAATGATATCATTTCTTGAACAATTTTACCATTTAATTGTAGCCAATATTTACTTTTTAATAGTGTGAACAGGATTTGGTGTTTCCAGACTGTCCATCCATAAAGGAAATAGATGAGAAGTTAAAAGTGGATCGGGTAAAGATCGAAGAAAATCCTTTAACAAGGCTGCCACAGCTATGATTGGTGCAGCTTCCAAACAACTTAGATCACCGGTAGACTCGATCTGATCGCGTAATTCTCGAACGATTCTTACATTAGCAGACTTTCGGAAGATACCTTGTGTGAACGGTCCTTTCGCAAAGAGTTGTTGAAGCATGACCAAGACGGGCTTTGGTAATCCGTTTTCGTCTAATCTCGATAGATTGACACCGAAAATGCTGGGATTTAAAGAAAGCGATCTCCTCAACAGACCCGTTATCTTCGACTTGTTCTTTTTTATTGGTGACTTTGATACAGGTCGAAGAATGAAATGACATGTGTCATGACCAGATTTGTTGCAATGTTCCAAATCGAAACCTTCTTCGGCCGATAAGGTGTGTCGTAGATTTGACATTTTCACAGCGAACGGTCTCTCGTGGCCGATCAGAGGATACGGCGCCTCATCGGACGACGTTCGGGCCCAAAGTTGAAACGGTCCTTGTATATCTAACAATCTAGTCGCCAAATTCACGCAAGTTGTCGCTGTCATTTCGGATCCAACCATTATCGTTTTACACTAAAAATCATTCATTTTGAATAAGCGTGGAATCATATTAGCGCGCCAGCGTGTACACGTGCATGTTACATTGGTACGAAGCACTTACGTATTCCGTGTTCGTGTCACTGTCGTGATACACGACTTGAATGTTCGTATCCGGTGGTTCCTTCATGCTTTCTTCTCGTACAAGTTCGGTAAGACGACCCCACCAAAGATCTCTTGCCGCTGCGGTCCTGGAAAATGTATACGCGTGTTAGCCACAAAAAAAATCTATGAACAATTTAGAAAAATCGAAAATTGAACTTACATGAAGGTAGCTACAACGTTCGTCGTTGGCCAACCAAGTACAAAACTGGTCTCTTGAGATTTGCTCGTTTCCGCTACGTCATCTATATGACCGGCGGTGAGCCAAAGCTCGCTCATCCTCACGCATTGTTTCAATTTAAAGTTTCCTCCGCTTCGTGCTTTCGCAATCAGCAGGAGGTCGGAAAACAGAAAAAGATGTCTTTCTTGCGATTGCATACCCTGCGAGAGAGAGAAAGAGAGAGAGAGAGAGAGAGAGAGAGAGAGAGAGAGAGAGAGAGAGAGAGAGAGAGAACACGTAAGAAAGAAGTACATAATATTTTCATTATATTTTGCCAAGATGTTTTTCGATTAAATATTAATATCAAATAACACACATATATATACCGTTGTAAATTGTACCGGTGTTTCCAAAAGGAAAGTTCTCGGTGGTAACTTGGATGGCGGTGAATTATTCAAAACGTTTAAAGATTTTTGCGACAACACTCTAGTTAATCTGCCTGGATTCGTACCGTTCCTCTTACGAATTAAACTCTTCATTTTCTGTAAAACAAACATTAACTTTGATTTCTTCTTCAAGTCACACATTTTCAATTTTTTTTTCTTTCCCCTCCTTCCGACATCGATCTCCCTCCTGTCACGTATGTATGTGAATACGTTTAACGATCTTTCACAGAGTCTATTATTGTAAAAAATTTTCTTTACTCATTGGTAAGCAAGCAATCAACCGTACCGAATTCATTTGTAAAAGAGAATCCCCTTTGAAACGCACTTATATGGACTTTCTTTGAGAACGTCGTACAATACATCGGAAATACCCCTGTGGGCTTAATTGCTTTACATTTCTTAAAACGTTATGAAAGATTAATTTACGGCTCATTGACTTTCTTCTTTGTTTTTTTGCTTATTTAAAACAAACATTATGACGAAAAAGGACTACTAAGTATTTTGAAAAATTACTTCTAAATAGACTGCCAATTAGTTTGAGTTTGTATTTCAACGCGTTTTTATTTAGCATGCAATTCTGTCCCTATAAACTATAAATACTGATAAATAATTATTTATTATTATGAATTATATTATTTTTTTTGTAATAAAATATATTTTTAATAAATGACAAATGTTTGAAAACTCTAAAACGGAAATATATAATTATTTTCTATCGCGTTTTTTTAAAGATAGGAATTTGTAGAGTACCGTAGTTAAGATATCTCGTTCGTGCAGTCGTAGATTGTCGCCAGGAAAGAGTTCTTGGATACGGTGAAGGTCACCCTCGAGTTGGCCACGTTGTAAAACAGAACCACTTCCGACGGTACCGTTTCCGTTCTCTGACAAATTTCTCGCCTCTTGTCCGAGATACCTTTCGTATTCGGCTAACCTCTGGACCTGTGAACATAAATCAAGATTGCATATTTAATCAGAAATGTCTACACCTCTCTCTTCTTCTTCTTCTTCTTCTTCTTCTTCTTCTTCTTCTTCTTCTTCTTCTTCTATGAAAACCTTCACAGGAGAAAAATAACGAATCATATATAGCAGTGATGGTGATCCAAAATATCAGAAAAAGATAAATTTTATTTTTCAACACTGACAGTGGTACATTTTGATGAACCATGTTATATAGTTCATCAATATAATTTAAGATTTGACCTTTTTGGAAGGCATAAAAGAATCGAGAGATCGGTTAAAAGACGCATGCATTTCTGCGATTGAATGATAATTCGAAACGCGATCGGATGCGTTCTCGTATGTTATCTCGTATGTTATATCAAGCACGAAACTGGTTAGGATTAGAGAGAAAGAGAATCGTCTTATACTGGATTATGCGGTACTTTGAAATCTCAGGGAATGCTCGTGCGTTGGCCACGTTTCGCCTCGCCTCGCTAACTGAGATAATTATCTTCCTTGAGATGTACGAGATATGTAAATTTACATCGAATCACCGTTTTCATTCTCAGCCGTGATTGAGTTACTGTCTATTATAGTCGTCGTTCCTGTTGAAGTATTGATCTTCGGTTTGCCAAATAATTCGCAAGGCCGTTATAAAAAATAAAAAAAGAAAAAAAAACAAGCAAATATTCTCACACGCGTCATCCTCCTTTTTACTTCCTTTCTTGTCTCTTAATGACATTTTTACTTTATATCTTTTTTTATTAGTCACGTTGCATGTTCGTGCTTTTGTATTTGATTTCGTAATGAAAGATTGAAAATAACGGCGCAGACGATATCGCTCGGTTTAACACAATAATTCGTTAAGATAACGATATTTATTGAAGTTTTATTTGGTACAATAGATAAGTGTTAAAAGACAATCTTAAATACGTCAATTTACATGCGAAGAAACGTCTCGAGTGAAAAGGGTTAATCAAAATATACAAACAAACGTGTTTTCTATGCGAATAGTATATTGAAACAAACGGTGAGATTCCTTTTTGATTTCATCGTCTATCTTTTTTCCCTTTTCACATATTTCTATTTTATCTTTGATAAGCGCGAAAAACAATCATTTGTCTTCGGCAGTTGATTTATTTGTTCGAATTATCATAAATCGATAGATATAAAAGTTGGCAGTTTATAATTATATGCGCGCACGAAGAATTCTTGTTATTGCTAAACGTGTTTTGAATTAATTCGCAATTCCCATTAACAAGACATTTCCGGTAAGTTAATTACGTATGGCTTAAGCTGTTAAACGAGACTAAAATATTCGAATAAGCTTATGGATTGTTAAGAAGAATAAATAATCGATCAGAAATTTAATAACAAAATTGATTGATTACGTACGTTTATTATGTACGTACGTACACATTTTTGATTAATCGAAATACTTATGGTTTTTAAACCGAATACATTTCTTTCTCGTTCGTAAATACATACATATGTTATTTTATTTGACAAAAGCCTTTTAATTCGAAATTCCCTTCAAATGAAACAGACGCGAACGTCACGTCATTCTCCATTATTTACGAATTTGTAATTAATTTTGATCTTGTTTATTATTATTCATGTTATATATATCTAAATGTACGGTCCGATTTCTCATCGACAAAATAGATAAATGATGTGCTGTTTTCTATGGAAATATTTATGAATCACGTTTGATGACTGCGAACTCGACAGTCTTAAGCCTTAACGAAATAGGGTTGAGAAGTTCTGATCCTAATAAACGACGATGAGTTGAAAAGTTTTCAACCTAACATGAATGAAACCATAAAAAAATATACTTTTTCATCTGAAACGAACTGGTATACTATGAGAATGCACGTGAAATCGTTCATTTTGTTTTCTTTGAAACGATTAAGTATTAGGTCTTGCTGCTCGCACAGTGTTGTCCCTACAACTGTGTCAAATTTTGAATAATTCTATCGTTGGCAATCAACAGTCTGAATTTTTTAAATCATTAGAGAAAAGAAAAATCGTTATACTGCATAAACACTCTTTTTAGATCGCATAATAATTTTTTCTTCGTCAACTATTTTCGTATCTACTATAACAAATTAGGGTCATGTAAGTAAAGATAAAAAAAATCAAACGTCTACCGTAGGTTTATTACTGTTTGTTATAATACATTAATGCTCAGGAATATGCCTTTTCTCTTGCATTTATTCTCTTTCCTTCTTTTTCTTTTCTCTCACGAGTCAGCGATCCTTTTTCTCGTCTCGTTTTCCTTTCCCATCGTCATTGTAATTCCAACATCGCGCGACCTGTACGTACATATACACGTACACACAATACTTTTTTTTGTCCTATTCTTACAAGCCGGCACCATTCTTGATTCCCCTTTTCGCACACTTTCTCCACTTTACGAATCAAGAATAACCTTAACAATATAATGCTAGTAGATGTTTGAAATTCTAATCAAAATATATTTCGATAAGAGAAAGAGAGTCGACAATATATCGATCCATATGAATTATCGAAATATCGATATTATATAATTGTAATTGATCACTGAAATAAAACCTTTAAGAAATATCAGTTTAATTGAATGAAATCTAATGTAAAATATGTTCGTGGCTTTTTCTTTGATCGAAACAAAAGGGTATAAATTTCCTTTGAGAAGGGTTAATCTTTCCTCTTCACGAAGTCAATGTGTCGTTATTAATGCTGCGCAACAAGCAAGGCGTCCTTCTTGCATAGTAAGAATATTTATACATGCACGCATACCAAGAAAACAAAGCGTCGACGCGAACGAGAGAATGCTGCGACACTATGGGATAAAATGAGAAAACAAAATAAACAACGAAAATAAAAATACAAAAAATCTTTATTCGTTTCATATTATAATTTGATTTCGTTATAACATCTGTCGATCTTCCCTCTGTATATATTCGTACACGAGTTGAAGATCAGTGTATAAGATTAATATTATCCTACGTATTAATATCTTTGTGTTTATATTTTTAAGTTAAGTTGATTCGTCGTCGGTTGTCTATTAATCACATTTATTTAAAAAAGAAGAATAAATCCGTCTACTATTTGTAAGATTACGAAAGAAAAGACGAACTTTTTTTTGAAGAATAATTTAATTTAGTTCTACGTAAGTTTAACTTTATTTCCGAGACAAGAGCGTAAATGGTAGGATGATTCTTGTATAGAAAACAGGTTGCTATGAGCGAAACGAATCTCTTTCATTGTCACGATGATGTTAGGCGAGGGGGAGTCATTACAAGTGGATATAGTAAGAGGTGGGAATGTGCGAATGAATTACGATAGGTGCTGCGAGCTAAGATGGCGATATACGACTACCGATGCGGATTACAAAACGACGACAATGTATATATTCCTTGACGAGGATAATTTTAGTGCGCGTGTGCGCGCGCGCGCCGTCTTCCTTTCGTTTCCCCTTCGCTCGCATAGCCATACCACCACCTCCGATTCCTTATTCTCGATTCCTTCTCATAGGAATCCTCCGCCCCGAGCAACGATACGATGATAGGACAAGACAAGATAAGAAGAAACCAAACGGGGGATGGATATAGATATTGGTGCCTCTAGAAGAAGAAAACGTGAATGCCATTCTACGACGATCATTTCATCTAGCTACTTCGTTACCACGAATTATATCGTAAATTGTGACAATTTACTATGATTGTATACATTTCATGTCGAGCAATCCATTCTCTCTTCTTCTTATCTATCTTCTCCTTCTTATTTCTATCTCACCCCTATAAGACCATTGTAACGACGATTTACCTTTTCAACAGCTCCGAACAGTCAATTTCTTTTTACATCGATAGAAAAGGTAATAGAATAAAAACAATACGTATGAGTAATCACGTTTGCAACAACTCGCAGATAAATATATATATATATATATGTATGTATATTTTTCATCTCTTGAATGCTAATTCGTATGCCGAAGTTCGAGACGATAATTAACATTATCCAAGTATATGAGACCTATCTTATGCATACAAATTTCAGTTGAGACGTGATAACTAATTGTAAGTGTGTAGTAGTAATAGTAAAAGTGGAAAAACGCAAAAGGAATTTCTCGTTGATCGAACACGTGCAGGCAGGCAGGCAGGAGTGGTTCGATGTAAAGAGTTTAGGCGCATAATATATAGTATATACTACTTCTCGTTGTGATATAATGCCGATAGTCGAAGTGGCAACGGTAGTAGTATAGCTGAGCCTTGGCTTAGATTCCAAGCTCTGTCGCGTGTGCTACCTCGTGACCAATGGCGTCACGTCTTTCGCGTTATATTCACGAATAACTCCGAAACGTTCAATTTCATTTGTTTTTTTCTTTTCATTTTTTAATCACAAAAAAAGATAAAACAAAAGAAATTTAATTCGTATACGAAACGGTGTCTCATCAATGATCTTCCGATTTCATAAGACATTTCGAAATATATTCGAGAGTCGATACCCCAAAATCGTTATTTTGAAAGAGAGAAAGTGAAAGCTAGAAAATATACGTGCTCTTTTTCTTTCTCTACGAGAAATTGTATAAGTTAATTATTAAAACATATATATATATGTGTGTGTGTATACGTTATAAATGTTTATCAATTTATAACGATGAAAAAAAAGTGAGTCTTTTGTAAATTAGACAAAATTGTTAGATAATATTTCGAAGTAAAATATTGTTAGAAAGCACACGCGACTACGCCAGTGTACATACTTGCGCTTTGGTGTGTGCACACGTACTTATGTACTGACTTATACACGTTTGTTATTTAGCGGCGCTTGGTAATAACGTGACAGGCAAAGGTATTCGAGCCGGGAGCAAGGAATCCCATTCGGTTTACTTCGATGATGGAATTCCAATGGCAGATTTAATCGAACGGCCGCAATAGTTCTTGGATTTCGAATTGAACCCGAGATGCACAAATTCGGATCTTATGGTCGAGCATTATTATATTTTATCGCTGATCTACGAC